GTTGGTCTGCTTTCTTTGCTGTGATTTTATTTTTTCTGGTGACATCTGTATAGTTTTAGGAGTGCTCCTGTCCAGAACAGTCCCTCTAAAATACCCTGTAGAGGTGGTTTGTGGGAGGCAAATTCCCTCAACTTTTGCTTGTCTGGAAATTGTTTAATCCCTCGTTCATATTTAAATGATAATCGTGCTGGATACAGTATCTTTGGTTCAAGGCCCTTCTGTTTCATTGCATTAAATATATCATGCCATTCTCTTCTGGCCTGTAATGTTTCTGTCGAGAAGTCTGATGATAGCCTGATGGGTTTTCCTTTATAGGTGACCTTTTTCTCTGTAGCTGCCTTTAAAACTCTTTCTTTGTCCTTGATCTTTGCCATTTTAATTATTATGTGTCTTGGTGTTGTCCTCCTTGCGTCCTTTCTGTTGGGAGTTCTGTGTATTTCCGTGGTCTGTTCAATTATTTCCTCCCCCAGTTTGGGGAAGTTTTTAGCAATTATTTCTTCAAAGACACTTTCTATCCCTTTTTCTCTCTCTTCTTCTTCCGGTACCCCTATAATATGGATATTGTCCCTTTTGGATTGGTCACACAGTTCTGTTAATATTATTTCATTCCTGAAGATCCTTTTATCTCTCTCTATGTCAGCTTCTATGTGTTCCTGTTCTCTGGTTTCTATTCCATCAATGGCCTCTTGCTTCTCATCCATTCTGCTCATAAATCCTTCCAGTGTTTGTTTCATTTCTATAATCTCTTTCCGGGCGTCTGTAATCTCCCTCCGGACTTCACCCGTTAGCTCTTGTATATTTCTCTGCATCTCTGTCAGCATATTTATGATTTTTATTTTGAATTCTTTTTCAGGAAGACTGGTTAGGTGTGTCTCCTTCTCTGGTGTTGTCTCTGTGATCTTTGTGTGCCTGTAGTTTTGCCTTTTCATGGTGATAGAGATAGTTTGCAGAGCTGGCACGAGTGACAGCTGGAAGAAATTCCCTTCTTGTTGGTTTGTGGCCTTCCTCTCCTGGGAGAACAGTGACCTCTAGTGGTTTGTGCTGGGCAGCTGCGTGCAGAAAGGGCTTCTGATTCCTGCCCAGCAGCTATGGAGTTTATCTCTGCTGTTGCTGTGGGCATGGACTGCCTCAGGCTGCTGCTCCAAAATGGTGGAGCCGCGTTAGAGGGGGAGCAGCTGGGAGGCTATTTATCTCCATGAGGGGCCTCCGTGCTCCCTGCTGCCCAGGCTGTTAGAGTGTCCGGAGATCCCCAGATTCCCTGCTGCTGTACTAAGTGTCCCGGGACGTTTCTGTCTGGTTTTGTGGTCCCTGTCCCTTTAAGACTTCCAAAAAGCACTTGCATAAAAAAGAAAAAAAAAGCCGCTCACTTTTCTTTGTCCCCGGGCGCTGGCCTCAGGGACCCGCTCACAGGTCTTGCTGTCCTGTTTCCCTAGTATCCAGGACCCCACGCATGTACTGTGTCTGTGCTCTGGTCCGGATGGCTGGGGCTGGGTGTTTAGCAGTCCTGGGCTCCCTCTCCTGAGATTTGTAATTTACTTGAATTTTGTAGCCATAGGCTGCAAGGTGGTGATATCAAGTAATATGGAAATAACAAATGTCCACATGGGTGCTTCTGCTCCAGAATATAGTATGTTCCCTTCTGATATTTTGGTCTCTTTCTTTTCGGTGACTGAATGTGATTTCTACTTATGTTAAGAAAGAGGTACAAATTGGCATAACCCTATTCTCTTAACTCAAAAATTTAGTTCAAAATTTGTCATTAGGCCAGGATATCAGTTAAATGGAAAAAATGGCAGAGATCATGGATCCTGCCTTGCGTCAGGCTTTAGGTATCAAAGTATTGGAGAAGTAGGCATTATATGTAATATTTTGAGGGCACTGGTTCAAAAAACAGAAAAAAAATCCTAAACCATATTTGTAAGGTTGTGATAAACTTCAGTTAAACCTTAGAAATTATTATTTCATTTGCTTTCATTCATTTCATTATATTTTTAAAAATCACATATCATACCTTGTAAAAAATAATTATCATACAGTATAAATGATATAAATAATTTATATAAACATAAAATATCCATAAAAATTTTTATATTGAATTTTTATTACCATGGGTTTACACACATAGTTTAAATTTAACACCACATGTACGAAGAAATTCATGAAGTGGACTTTATGAAGATAAATAAAAGATCTGTAAGAGAATGAAAAGACAAGTCACAGGGTGATAGAAAATATTTGAAAGTCATGTATCTTACAAAAGGTGTATATCCAGGATCTACAAAGAATTAAAATTTGAGAATAAAATCCATAAATAGTTCCTTATATCTATAGTCATTTGATTTTCAGTAAGGGTCCCAAGGCAGTCCATTGAGGTGGGAAAGAATAGTCTTTTCAACAAATAGTGCTGGAACAAGTGGATACCCAACACTCAAAAGAATGAGTAAACTTCCACTTCACATCATTTGTAAAAATTAACTCAAAAAGATCAGAGACCTAAACGTCAGAGCTAAAAATATAAAACTCCTAGAAGAAAATTGAGGCATAAATCTTTGTGTCCTTGGATTAGGCAGTGTTTTCTTAGCTATGACAACAAAAGCCCACGTAACTAAAGAAAAAATAGATAAAGTGGACCATCAAAATCAAAACATTTTATGCTTCAAAGCACACCATAAAGAAAGTAAAACAGCATGTTAATGGGAGAAAATATATGTAAATCATTTGATAAGAGATTTATATCCAGAGAATATAAATCAACTCTTATGACTGAACAATAAAAAGACAACCAATTTTTAAAGGGGCAAATGTTTTGGATAGACATTTCTCCAAAGAAGGTAGACAAATCACCAAAATGGACATGACAAAGATGTTGAACGTCTATAGTCATTAGGGGTCATTAGGGAATTGCAAATCAAAGCTACAGTGAGAGACTACTTCACACCCAATAGTGTGGCTAAAATAAAAAAGATACGTAATAATAAATGTTGAGGATGTCGAGAAGTTGGAGCCCTCATACATTAGTACAGCCACAGTTTGGCAGTTCATCAAAAGGATAAATATAGATAGACCCAATTCCACTCCTAGGTGTATGTACCCAAGAAAATTGAAGCCACATTTCCACATAAAAACTTGTGCCCTAATGTTCCTAGGAGCATTATTCATAATAGCCTTAAAGTGGAAGCAATGCAAATATTTATCTACTGATGAATAGATAAAATGTACAATGGAGTATTATTTGGCCATAAAAAGGAATGAAGTACTGATACATGGCACAACATAGATGAGCCTTGAAAACATTCCAAGTAAATGAAGCAGTCACAAAAGGCCACATTGTATGAATCAATTTATATGAAATATCCAGTGTAGGCAAATCCATGGGAACAGAAAGGAGATTCCTAGTTGTCAAAGGCTGAGGGGTGGTGCAAAGGAAGAGCTGACTGCTGATGGGTATAGGTTTATCTTTTAGGTGATTAAGATATTCTGAAATTAGATAGTGATCATGATTGTATTAGTCTGTAGAATATACTAAATACCATAGAATTGTACAATTAAAAATGGTGAATTTCATGGTATATTAATTATATCTCAGCAAAAATATTAACTCAGTTTTTTAAATGGGCAAAAGATTTGAACAGATGCTTACCAAAGAAGAAATATGGATGAAAAGTAAGTACATGAACACACAAAAAAAGCAAACATTTTATTGGTCATTAGAGAAATCCAAATAAAAGCCAGAAGGTTAAAAAGAGTGATAATACCAAATTCTGGTGAGGATGCAGAACTGGAACTCACACATTCTTGATGGGAATGTGAAATGGCTCAGCTGCTTTGTCAAACTATTTGGTATTTTCTCATAACCTTACACACAGTTGTTATGCCCATGCAGACATTCATTTACAATGACCAGTAATTTCGTTCCTAGGTTATTTATTAAAGAAACCCACCCTTACATTCAAATATTTATTGCAATAAATACACAAATATACAAATACACAAATATTTATTGCAGCTTTATTCATAATAACCAAAAGCTGCAAACAAACCACATGTCCTTTCACTAATGACTGATAAACTGAAGTATGTCCATACAGTGGGCTCATATTTAGGAATAAAAAGGAAAGAACTATTGATGCATGTAGGAAAATGTAGAGTGGATGAATCTCAGATGCTTATTGGCTTGTGAAAGAAGCTAGACCCAATGCTACATCGTGATTTCATTTAGGCATATTCTGGAAAACGCAAAACCGTTGAGAGGGAGGAAAGATAAGTGTATAGGAGGCGTTTGCCTTACTCGTGAGCCAAGAGTAATTACTCTCTCTGCAGATCAAATTTTATTTCACAGAGGAATTTGTTTTCCTGGTTATTAGTGAGCTGAATGACTGTTCTTTTTAGTTTTTATATTAATGCCCAGCATAAAACAAAGGGAAATTTGTTGATGTATATTTTTAACTTCATGGTGGAGAGTGGTAGATATTAGGAGGAAGGTGATGTTTTGGCTTATGTCTTTTGTCAGTCTCATCCCATTCCTCTCCTGTTACTCCCTGTCAATACTCATCCTTATGACTCATGTTTCTTCTTACCTTCTGAGCCTTCCAAAGGACCATGGCTGGAATATTCTCCCCACTTACTCTCAAGCTTGTTTAGGGAAATGTTCTTTGCCTCCTCTACACTAATCTACATCGCCTTGTTTTATTTTCTCTTACTATTCTATATTTCTTTATAACACCATAAAATCATAATTAAATTTTATACTACTTATTTATATAACCATATAACATCTATCCAATTCTGTGGCCTCCATTTCTCCCTCTCCAAAGGCTAAAGGCTCTGTTTACAATCAAGCCTCTCTTGTTACTAGTATCATTTTTTTTTTTCACCATCCATATACTCGTGGTTCTTTTGGAGTTAATTCTGCCTTTAGTAACTTTCTTTAATGATCGGTGGAGTCAGTGAGAGAAGGAAGCTTCCCTTGTTGATGCCTTTCTTTCTGTTTCTCTTTGTAGGGAAACTAAACAGCCAAGACTCCTACAATAATTTTGCCAACAACAATCCTGGCAACCCTCGTCTCTCCCCCCTGCCCAGCTTGGTGGTATTGATGCCTCTTGCCCAAATCAAGCAGCCAATGACATTGGGGACCATCACCAAAAGAACAGGGTAAGGCCTCAGGCTGGATGCTTTTTAAATTGCTGTTTAGAGGATTGAAAAAATAAAAACAAAACACACTTTTTCTTTGGGTGGTTTTGATTATGGTCTTCCAGCCCACGTGAGACTTAATGGCAGCAGATTAAGTACAAAGTATAGATCATGCACAAATGTGCTCACACAAAGCCATGTACACACACATTCATAGAAAAAACAAAGCAGTGACAAGTTGTGAAACTAGTGTTGGCTAATAAAAAGCAGATCCATCTATTCTTATACTTGCTGCCTTGTGGCTTTGCCGAAAGTACAGTTTTATTTTCTTGCTTTTGTGGACATGATCTGGACTTATAATAACTCCCAAATTTTAACTGGCACAGATACTAAGGAGAGAAATTTGGATGGCAACCATGTCTCTAATACTTTTAAAAAATCATCTATATTGAGGAATAATTTACATATAATAATGTCATCAAAAGTCAGGACAATGTGATATGGGTAGTTTTCAAAAGCCAGAGTCCCAAGATTTGGACTTCACTCAAGACTGATCATTAACACCCTCAAAGACATGTGATGACTCACTTGTTATCTTTGTGCTTATTTTAGCTACTGAAAAAAATTTTAATTCCTACCTAGTAGGAATATAAAATAATAATTTCTTTGAGTTCCTAAAGTGGTATGTCTGAGATACCATTAGATACTCAATGTATAGTAATGCTGAAATTCCATTTTGTACCAGGAAATATGTCTATAGGCAAAGTACCTGTTTTCATCTAAGTGATCCTGAGGTTTAACCTAATTTGAAATGGAACAACTGTCTTGAAATCCTGTGTTCAGATAATCAGGAGAAACCCCCATCTCGGTTTCCCGAAGTCTTCAGCATGTTAAGGAAAAATATAGCAAACCTAGGTCCTAAATCAGATATTTTATGATCATTTGGCCTGTGTTTCTTTTAACTGATTTCAGCTTTGATTCTTTATGTTTAGTAGTAGTATAATTTAAATAGAATGTTGACTTCCCTTTCTTCTTTTAGTTTCTTTAAGATAAATAAGAATGGTTATGAACTTACATTTAAGAAATGTTAGGAACTTACATTTATAGTTAACTCATTGTTTTTATGTATGGCATTACATTTCCAGGATGTAGAATCAAATGAAAATGGGACTAAATGTTGAACCTTAATTTTACAGCTATTATTTTGCTCACAGAAGTCAGTTAGTGCATAATTGTACCTTCTTGATTCAGCCCAGCATTGTACAGTTAATTCTATGAGGCACTTTTGAGTTTTTGTGTCTTTTCTTGAATTTAAGTGAAAGAATAGTGAAAATTGTTCTTGAATTTAATTTTAATTCTGTTTTTGGTGTTTTTATGTTGTTTCTGTGTTGTTTTTAAAACTTAAGAGCTATGCTATTTTCATAATGGATTAGCTTTTTTTGAATAAGCTTCTCCAAATATCTCTCTAAGTCAGTGCCTGAGGTTTTATGCATGAAATCATACAATGCTAGAATTTAATTCAAAATAGTTGTGGGGAGTGATGGAAATTGAGCCTACTTTTGTATATATTTGAAATTTCCCATAAACAAAAGATAAAATCTCTCACTCATTCTGTTTCACTCTCTCTCTGTCCTTAGATGGGTGGTCTTCCTATGCTACCATACTTTATGAACTTAGATAAATTCTGTGTTTCCTTTTCACTTTAAAACTTGGTCACTATTCCTAGATTTTTAGGACATGTATATTATGCTCCCTTGTATTATGGACTATTTAATAATAGTTATTAATGAATTAAGTGATATGAATTTGAGTAATGTGCTTTGAAGTTAATATTAGTTCAAGATACATGTATCATATTGTTGACTAGGCTTTTTATCTCGATTCTCAAACCATTTGATTTTTGCCAAGTTTTTAAATTCTTTTTAGTGTGTCTTGTATTGTGGGGTTTAGAGAGAATAGTTAATATTTGTTCAAAAATGAGTAATTGATTTCTAATTTTAAAAAAATTGACATAGCTTCAAACTTAAAAAAAGAATTTACAAGACTAGTAAAAGGAATTCCTGTATACCCAGATTTCCCAAAAGTTAACAGTTTAACATGTTTGCCTTATCATACACATTCTCTCTCTGCATACACGTGCGTGTGCGCACACACACACACACACACACACACACACACACATACCAACTATATACTCCTGAATTGTTTCAGAGAATTTCGTAGACTTAGTAACCTTTTATTCCTAGAAATGTCAGTGTGTTATTTCCAAAGACAAATACGTTCTCATTTTAAACCATGGTACACTTATCAAAAGAAGAGATTTAAAAACTCATTTTATTAGTTTTTTTTTCATATAGTTGTCTACAGTGAATTCTCTACTTGTGGTAGACTTTTAATGCACCACGAATTATCCCACCTACTATTTTTTTTCCTTCCTATTAACACAGATTACAATGACCTATAAACACTTTGATAATAGTGTTCATAACTTATATTTGACTGTTGCTAGATTTCCAGACTTTATGCCCCTAAGCCATTTTTCTGAAGGGGTTTGTTGATTATATTTAGAAATTGCTTATTGTGACTTTCCTAATAATTCGTTTACTATAAATCACTTAAACATTTGGTCATAGAATTTGTTTTTGGACTACAATTTTTGGTATTACTTAAAATGTAGTATTTCTATTGAAATATGTGTATTTTGCCTTATCAAAATTATTATTGTTTTGTAAAATATATTCCCTAAGTTTCCATTTAGACATATGCTAAATTTTGAAAAAATATCCCACATATTTCATATCATTAGATTTCATACCATTAGATTTTAAAAGCTGTATTTATTTAAAATTTTTTTTACTAAGACCAGTTTTCAAAGACTGCAGTTAGCTAGTTTGCATTAGTTCTATTACGTTTTACTGTATTTATTGAGAATTTTGATTGCCACATTAAGGTCCCCAGAGTGAAGAGCAAATGGGCTTTTCATTTTCCAGGTTGCTTTTCATTCTGGAAATTCTAATTTACTCTAATTTTGCTTCTATGAAGTGCCGTTCTTACCATTTTAAAAATACAATTCACAGGAAATATTTGCATGGGTTATGTAGAAAGAAAAACAGAGCAGACTCATTTATAGACATGTACGTTCTACAACTACTTCCAATATGCCTGATAATATTTCAAGTGAAATTATATATTTAACTTGGATTATATCAACATTTGTTCCTTGTCCTAGATATTTGGCAGGAAGGTATAAAATAAGCATAAAAAGTTGTATTTCTAGCACAGAGATTTCTAAGGATTGCCTAGGATCCTGTATTTAAATAACCAAATTGAGATGGAAACTTCAACTCACACCTTCAAGGCATAAAACGTTTGCTTACCATATTTCATATCTGCCCTCTTTTCTTGGAACTATATATCCCTGAAAACCTGTGCCATGTCAGGGACCATCTGTCTCACTCCAAGACATGCATGAGGCCAGTAGAACTACAAATGGCAAGAGACAGATGTATTTACACCTTCATGTTCTGTACCTTGAAGCAGCACTTGGAGGAAATAGGGCCTATTCGGCAACAGCTGTTGCGTAAGCCCCCTACAATGTACACTGATGGAGGCAAAGGAAGTGCTAGAAATCATTTGGTTCAACGATCACTCATTCAAACAGAATCAGTTTTCTTTTAGTCTAAGACTGGAGATTGGAAAGACTTCCATCATGTTTTTATCATATGTAAATGAGAATAGTTGTCCTCATCTATTAAAAGTCAAACTGGGTGCTAAGGGATTGCTTTTTGTTTTGGAGTGTTAAGTTTTTATAGTAGGGATTTATTAAGCAGCATTTCATAGATGTTTGATTGAATTATGAATCAAGTAAGTGATAAGGCTTCTTATGTAAAAAAGGTGTTTACATGTAAAACCTGAGCATTAGATTGTATGTCAATGATACCTTAATAAAGAAAAAGTTTTCAATTCTTCCTATGTAAAATTTTACTAAATAGACAATTTTTCATCAGTCTGCTTAATTTTTATGCACATTAAATCTCAAATTTTTAGTATACACATATGTGGGCACAAGCAGAGAACAATAAATTTCAAAAAGATGTCAGAGTGATTTCACGGGAATAAAAAATACTGAAATTGGGAATGAAGTTATTACTTTCTTGCTCTTAAATAGCTGACCATTTTTAGTAAAGTAAACCTGAGATGATTTGTTGTCTTTCATAGGAAGTTTCCTCTTCCTTAAATGGAATAGCTTCTTGCTCCTTTCCACCCTGTAGAAGTAGGTGAGTAGGTGAGGTGATGTAGTAGAAGAATATTGACTTACGGTCTGAAGCACTGGCTTTTCATCTTGTTTCTGCCACCTATTACTGGTGTGTCCTAGGTGATTTTCTTCATCTGAAGAATTAAAGTTTATATGTATGGATTATAATCTCCAGCGTTACAAGTGGCTGAGTTCCCACCAGGTCTTTGATCCCATTACCTAATTTCTAAACCTCACTCAATATTGAGCTCTAGGTCAGTGCTGACCAAGAGCTCCATTTAGAAATTGTAAATGATTGTTCTTATTTCAAAGTAGAAGCATTTAGTAGCATTTTCTTGATTATCTCTAGTTGAAATTTGTAGACCATATCTGCTGTCAGAGCTTCTTCCTAAGTGAGTGAAAGACATTGGCATATAATAGGCCTTGAAGGAGGTCTATTCCTTCTGATTCAATTAGGTCTCCCTTGGCTTATCTGGACAGTTTGGCCTGAGCCCCAAGCCTTATAAGTGAAGTTTTGAGAATTAAATCTTGGGAGACTCATTAGAGTAGCAGATGGTAATTCTCCACCACCTAGCCCTGTCTTGTCTAGGTTTTAGTTCTTGATAGTTAATCTATAAATGTTTAGTCCAGATACAAAATAATGGACAATGTATTTTCATTAGAATAGATATGGGTATGTCTACTCGTGCAATATACTTACCATATTTTGAGTTTCCACTTTTTGTGCTAAATCATTAGAGCACTTAAACCATAGTTTGTTCCATTT